TTAATTATAATTATTGTTAGCCCACTTGGGAGAATGTTAGAAAATATCTCAAATTTATAGTCTAACAATAATTATATAAGGGTAATATTATTCACAATTTAAGTGAGTCGATTATCCTATCTCCCCCACTCTTTCTTACAGATAACTATTTGTCATGGGTTAGGATAAAGGAAAGAATAATGAGGAAAGGATATAAGGTGACGGTTCCAACTCTTATTCACTCTCCATTATGAAGTTTCCCATCAAACTTGGAAGAGAAAAGAGGTGAAGGTCGATTTCTCATTCAGATATAAGAACCACAAGCTCTTTTATCTCATTATTGGATCATGGAAGGTATGTTTACATTTACTGTTTTATTCTTGTTTTTCGGCAATCATGAGCAACGATCCAAGAAAGATTTACATGTTTTTCAGGTTCTTAAATCTGTAAATCTGTAGTTTATATTTACAAGATGCAGTTATAGTATCAGAAACTCCTATAATGATCTAAAAATCCCTTCACAACTCTCACTATGACATTTAAAGCTTCAAAAACAATGCAGATCCAACAAATCTTTAAACACGTTAAAATATTAAATATGTACAGTCCAGATCATATGCTACAAAATTTTAGCATCTATTTTTTTTTTTTTCATTTCTATTTATCTCAAGGTCAAGATAATCAATTGGAGGGTCAAAACAAAATTTTCACAAATGCCCAACTCATGACTCATCCGAGTCAAGTGTGATAGGGAGTCTTGGTAATTCCAACCATATTTCATCCTTTCATTAGAAACTTATTTTCCTAGTCTACGATCAAAATCAATACTCGCCCAAGTTGAACGAGGACTCCAATACCCCCAACTAGGAGGACATCATTTCTATTTTTCTTAACACTAGTTCAACTCCAATGCTTTCAAACTTGTCTTTGGCCTCAGACTCGGCCCTAGTTCGAGCCAACTAACTTGGCCGGTACTCCCTCATATATATTTCTTATGAGAAATTTCATACAGACCTTTAATTCTCCATTTTATTTCACTGTAGACCCTCATTCTCTTTTTTTTTTCAAGCCGCATAAAAAAACCCTCAAGTATTTCACCGTTGCCCCTCATCTCTTCTCTCTCGCGTTTATTCACTTTTGGTCATAAAAACTAGCCCCAACAAATTGTTTTATTTCATCTCATTTATTCCCAACATTTTTATTTCTAATAGGGTTAAAAGAGCTTTTGGATTGAGATGGAATAAACAATTTGTTGGGGCTAGTTCCTGTGGCCAAAAGTGAATTAACGTGGGAGAGAAGAGATGAGGGGGTACGATGAATTACTTGAGGGTTTTTATGCCGCTTGAAAGAAAAATAGAAGGAAGGTATACCGTGAAATAAGATGAGAAATTAGGGGTTTGTACGATATTTTCCCATTTATTATCAAGTCGATGTAGCATTTGGATACTCCTTTCTTTTTCAATACCTACCAAATTAAATCTTTGGAAACTTTATTATAAGCTTTCTCCAGATCAATAAAGACCATGTAGAATTATGGGCTCAATCTCAAGACCGTAAGGGAAAAAGCGTTGCGCTCGACTGACCAAGCGATTGTTTTAGTTGAAACGGCAATCACTAAAGCAAATTAATAGCATGGCATTAATAGCCTAACCGGCCAGCTAACCGGCTAGTTTGCGATCACCAGTTTGGTTTGATGAATATCCAACTAATTCGCAATAAAAAAAGACCGGTTCTAGGCATGTCACATAGGGGGGGTCCAACCCCTAGCAATTGGATCCCTTGAATCGGTGAGAACTGGGCTCGCCCAATCGGGGTGTTTGGGTAACTTGGCTCGCCCAATCGGGGAGTTTGGGTAACTCGGCTGGGTCTCATTCGTCCTAGCCAACTTTTCAAAAATGCAAACAAAAACAAGCAGAAATTCACTCAGAAATTCACGCAGAAAACAAGCACTCATGCACTCTCAGAGCCACAAATGCAATTACGCATGCACTAGAAAAAACGCACACACCGAGTCGAGTCGAGAAAGAAAATTCAATGAATTATAAAAATACCAAAGTACGAACTGACTCTTTAGATGATATATTATTCCTTGGCAATTAAATATGGAAAAAGTTTATATAAGGTTGCAACTTTAAAATGTAGAACTACGAATGCACCTCAAAAATCCATTGGAATAGGTTGTTTTAATGTTGAAAAACCACCTAATTGAGCATCTTGACATTGAGATGCATGATTATGAAATAAAAAAAGATTTTGAGTCTTAGAAATAGTGCATCTTACAACATATTATCTAGACTGTCCATTTTCAAAATTTTCATATATTTATAGATCTACTTGATTTTAACCATTTTTGGAGTTTAAAATTTTTATAATTAAACACGAAAATAGATTTTGAGATAATCTTAAGAATATTTTACGTCAAAATTATATGCTATGATCAAATTTAAAGGTACGCCTTAATTTGATTGTTGAAGGTTGCAACCTTATGGAAACCACACCCATTAAATATTGTGTTTGAGTATTTTATTGATTCATCTTTAATTTTATCTGTAGGACCAGTTTGGATTTCAAATAAAAAGGAATTGTTATCCAATAAAATTACAGTTTTTCAAATACCAGTTGCAAAAAATACCAAGCCCTTTTTTCTTTTCTTATAAAATCGTTTGGGTGTTAAAGTCCATTTTCTCTCTACGATTTTTTCCCTTGACAAGAAAGGGATTTACAAGTAGAGGAGGCGCAAGCTCAATGAAAACTCCGCGAATATCTCCCTCAACAAGAAGGGGATTTATAAGTAGAAGCCATGTGTTTAACTCTGAAAGTTGCATGGAGAGAAAAGGCAGACATAGAAGAAAATGGTGAACAAAATTAGGTTTTATGGAGAGAAATTGGTTTTATTGGGGTTTCCATATATGGAAGAGTTAGTATTTTAGCTACTCAATGTTCAAGCCACAATGCTCACTACAACTATAAAAATGGAAGCTTTACCCCCAGAAACTCTTCTAACTATGGTCCATTGGAGTTGTAGAGAGCTCTGAAATCCTAGAAAACTAAAAACCTATAAATTCACCCAATGAGGTATGTCATTAGAGCTTTAATAAGAGATTTGAAACCCTAAAATTATTTTTTAACCTAGGTATAATTTGGATTTTTATCAATAAATATAAAATTTAAATATATCTCGTGTTTTGAGTAAAATCTTGATTTCCAAATATATAGTAAAAATAAATATGTAAAAATAATAATTTCAACTAATTATGACTATTTTTAATTACAATTATAATTTTAAATTTATTGTTAATCTCTTCTCACTAGTTCTTATGAATGTTTTTCCTGATAATAAAACAATAGAACTTTCTAGAGTGGACATCCATTTTATGCATGAAAACGTAAGAAAGTACTCCTAGGGCCTGTTTGATAATTGGAAGCAAGTTCATGAGGTATGTTTGATAACAGGAAGTGTCTTTCTGGAAGTTTAGAACTTTTTAATATTATTCAAGTTTCGTGTTTTCGTGTTTGATAAAACCAATTGAACTTCAAACAAAACATCTTGGAACTTTTTTTTTTATGACCTCCCCCCCCCCCCTCATCCCATATATAAAATGTATATATTTTATCGCATAATGTACAATATAATTTATTGTATAATATATAATATATTTTATTATATAATATATTTTTTTATATAATAGATATTTATGTTATTATATAATAAAAATATATACAATGTATAATATATTATATTATTATATATATATATAATAATATAATTATATAATAAAATAAATAAAAAATACATTATTATGTTATATATATTATACATTTATGTAATACAATATATTTAATTATATAATAAAATAAATATAAAATACACTATATTATATATTATACTATCTTATAATTTATAAGATAGGGTAGGGTAGGGTCCACGTTGTTGACAATCATACGTTGTTGGTTGGGCAGGAGGGGGCGGGCGTGCCTGCCATTGAGGTGGTCCAGGGGGTCCACAAGGGCGGTAGGTTTGTTGGGGGTAGCCAGTGGAGAGAGATGGAGGCCTTGTAGGAGCCTATAGCAATAAGGAGATAAGAAAGAAATGAGTGAGATACAAAGACATAAAATAATATGAGAGGACAGATTCCCTGAATGCTACAGGTTTTAAATATCAATATTAACTTCATTATAATTAACTTGATTATCATACATTCGCAAATATTTATATAGTCCTTTAGTAAACATTCTCAAATATTTATGTGGTCCTTTCATATGCTAATGGAAGTGGCACCAAGGACCATATATGCTTCAAAATAAAACAAAAATTTATTGCTCGATTCATATCTAAGTAGATATTGATCAGATAATGACACAGGAAGCTCCCACACATCACGATGAAGATTGAATAGTGGCTAAAAGAAATGCATTTAATTTCATGCAGCATTCCTTCCTCAATAATAACCAAGAGCTTTCGACAGCTTACATCTCTCAGATTCAAGGGGAAAACATCATTAACTTCATCTATATGCAACAATATGACAAAAGTCTTCAAATATTTACAGGATATATCAAACTAGGCCAAAGAATGATATGCTTCTCATGTTTGATCCCAGTTTCTCCCAAAGGTGCCTAAAAAAGCATCCAATGCAAAGTCTTTTCACAGTAACCCTCATGCACACGAAAAGTTTTTACTTTGCATTTGTGGATTTACTCTTCTTTTACAGGTAGCTAGTATATTGCATACATTATTGGCAAATATTAACAAGTTTCATACTGCACGACAAACTAGAAGAAAAACAGAGCAAAAACAAATGCGAGAAAAAAGTACACAAAAACTAGGATATTTTCACTTTTTTTTCGTAACAGGTATACCCTCCTCCACCTTTTATTTATTTAGAAAACATTGTGGTTTTCTTTTAGGTATTTAGATACATGGTTATTTATCACTATTAAGAAGGTAATTGTCCACCTTTAGTATTTAGAAAACATTGTTATTCATCAAACCATAGCTATGAAAACTAATATCATCAATGCTTCAACAAAAACATTAGTATTCATTAAACAAGAGCGCCGCTACTCAAATCAGCGGTTTTTGGAGTTCTCAAGATAATTCTCACTAATACATAACATTGGCAAACAAGTAAAAAACTAGCCCATAGTTATCAGACAGTCCAAATTAACCTTGAATATGGGACCAAGAGAGTCTGAATGATGACTACATCAGACAAAAGATAAATAGGCCATGCTCCTTCACAAACCTGATTCATTACTTCCTTGATCATTTCTTGTGCAGTCTCAATCTGTTTCTTATTTCCTGTCACGTGTACAGTTCTTTCTTTGGATACATCACCCTCTGGAAGATGCTGTGGGATCAACTACAGAAAAGGAATAAATATGGAAAAGTTAGATTTAGTTATAGCAAAATCAGTGGTTGAAAAGAATAGCATTTTTCTGTGTAGCTTTTAGGCATGACACGAAGTCATCTCATGGTGCACAACTGCATAGGCAACCCCTTTTTCAAAAAAATTTAAAATTTAAAATAAAAAATAAAAATAAATCATACTAAACCCCCCAGTGAATCATTTTGAAAAATCTAAAGTATGCCTACCTTTCGCCAATTGAAAAAAGAAGGAAGAAAACTTAGTTACCCAATGATTGAAGAAACAACTCCCTATTAACAAAAACAAAAGAAGTACACTTACCTGTATGCGAGCTCCAGATCTCGTTTGCGGATTCTTAATGGTTTCACCTCCTTTACCAATGATCAATCCTACCTGCAAAATGTATACATCAGAATTTTATGATGAAAGTTTAGCTGGTTCTAATATTTTGCCCCTAAACCATAGTCAAAATGGGTAGGCCTTGTCAGGAGAATTACTATAATGGTCGGAAATAGAATTCTCCTTGTCATTTGGAACCTGTATCCGAACTTGCTCTCCACCAGATTGTGCGGTACCGAAACCCCCAGCAACAAGAGCTGGGGAACCCCCAGCATCAGCCTGTTGAATGGAGAAAAAAGACACATAGTTCAGGAAACAAAGCACCCCATATATATATAAACGCTCATATATGCATACGTACACATATGACAATATGATATAAATTGAAAAAATATTTCAAATGGAAAATACACCACCCACTCTCCATCACCTTCCATCATTCATCAGATGGTGATGAAACCAATGGACTATGAGAATACTATAGTCCATTGGACTAAAGTATATTTTCCTAAACTTAGGACAGAAATAATCAGAGAACCTCCGCAATGACATCCTTTATCAGCTGCTCGGCCTTATTAATATTCTCTAGAGTCCCTATCAGTTCCACTGGCCTAGTTGAAGCATGCGGATCAGCATCAGCATCTCTTGCGATTTGAATTTTCGCCCCAGAATTATATTGGAGATATCTGATAGTATCCCCAGCCTTTCCAATGAGAACTCCAACCTGGAAGGTAGATAAATAGTTCCAACTAAGTGAAGCGTTAACAGAGTTCAGGCAAAATGCTAGTTGATATGAAAGACTGACATTGAAAGATATACCCATTATTGGTAGCTTTTCCAAATTTCTGAATTTATAACATTTCCAAGTACATTACTGCCTCTCTTTTCCAGTTCTAAGTATTCTCAGTCACATTTCCATGGAAAAATGTAGCCTTTATAGCTATAGTTATTGCAAGATTTATATATCTCTCTCCTATTTTCTAGATATAATTGGGCCACACACTCCCTTCACGAATCAAAAGAACAATAACAAAGATAAAACATTTCTTTCCAAGAGTTATATTGACTAAAATTCAGCCATTTTGCTTCTCCTTCCCATTTTTCTCTGAAATAATGACAGTGACCAAGTCATTTTAATGGCATCTTCCATTTTTCTCTGAAATGTAATCTCCCATGTACTTCACCAGCATCCTATCCGCCTAAATCTTTTTATAGGCTTCCTGTGAAAATAATTATAAATTGCTCAATCCTAGAAATAGCAAGAAACTCCTCAATAACTTTCATAAATGATGTGAAGGTCTGACAACTTCGTTTTTTTAACAAAAGGTATAGCAATTGCTTTTGAGCAATCATTGTAAAGTTAAAGCTTTTGAGAGTTTTTTTTTTAGTTAGTAATTTTAGACTCTAGTTTCTCCTGAAGTATGAAATTTATTTTTATAGTAAGATCTCTTCTTTTTGTCTTCATGCAGGTATACCTCTAACATGCCTTCAATTTATGTCTTTCCCCATTACGTTTTACAACAGTTTCAAACTTTTTTCATTGATTAACCCTCACAAAATAGAACTTATCAAAGTAAGACAAAAATTAAATATAAAATTTAACCATTTAAAAAAATAAAAAAAAAGGAAAATTACCACCCACCATCTGTTACTGATTACATATGATGGTGAAAAGCTGTACAATGGTAACTGTGTAACTAGGAGCCACAGTTAATTAATCTCCACCATCCGTTTTTAGGAGTAAAGTAATATATGGCAGTGGTACATTGCATACTTTCTTGATACTCATCAGAAAAAATGGTATACTTTCCATTAGGAACTTCAACTTTAGAGTGGGTGGTTGTGCATTGATCACTACCTTGCCATTAGGAACTTCAACTTTACGAGAAATAGGCTGAAGATCCAGTTTAGGTTGCTCTTGAACAGGAGGGATATCAGCTTGTGGAGGAATACCAGTGGACAGCTGTTGGGGAGTCTCCACAGGAGCAGGTTCAGAATTCTCTGAAGGAAGCTCCTCAGACTTATGCACCTCTGAGCCATGTTCTGCAAATGAAGCACAAGATTGTCAACCGTATAGAAAATCAACAACTTCTACAAGGAAAGTAAGGCTCATTTTCGATGAGCTCCTAATTTGGTATCAGAGCATGTCAAAAGAAATCTTTATAAGACAAACATATAAATCTGTAAAAAAATTGAAGTAGAAAAACAGGCTATATAACACAATTACAAACTGCATATGTACACAAACATATAAATGCGCATATGGATGTGCATATATACGTAAGCATGTTTGTGTATCATGATTTGAAGACAGAGGAAAACACCTGAGTGAACTCGACACAGGCTGGTCCTATATAAACTGTAGGACATGTATGTTTGTACATACAGAAAAATCTCCAGGATACTTTAGCAGACCCACAAGGACTTGTAAGCCTCACAAGTCTATACAATTTTTTCTAGGGTTTTCTTTTTCTTTTTTTATGAATAACAGTAATTAAGAGAGTGATAATTGACCCACAATTTTATTCTGGGCAAAAGAATATTCCAAAATTCGTTGTTATGATCTATGACCACCAGAGATGATTTCTGGGTACTATCTTTCACCAAAAGATTCAGTAACAGCATTGCTTTTCTCTCAATGAATGATGGAAAGAAACCATAAGTTCATGATGCTGAAATAATCTTCAAAACAAAAGTTGTGTGCTGCCATGGGTGCTCTGTGCTCTGCTCTTTTCCTTTCCCATGTAATTTTGTTGGCTGAGTCTCCTTCAATTTGGATCTCCATCCAGTTTGGAGGCACCCATGACACATGTCAACCTTGTAGGTTAGACTCACACCACCGGCTCATTGAAGACATGTACTCCTATAGGCCCCAAGCAAGACTCGATGATTCTAAGAAAATCTCAATACACACCACCCACTCCAGCTGCGAGAGATGACCCTTTGTGCACCCACGGGAATCACGTTCACTAGCTCCTTCTGGATGAATCCATCTTGAAAATCGTGAATCCCTCTTGAGCTAAATCTTTGAGATATCATTCCAATTTTGATATAACTCTGTACATGAATATCCTCAGAACTCCTTTCCAACAAAAGCCTTAGATATGAGTGTGGCTTTACACGATCTTTCAGCATGATGCTTATCTTTGAAGAAGATTCTGTTCTGTTTAAACCATATTTTCCCCAGCATGGCTAGAATACACAAGTTCCATGGGATCAATCCTAGCTTCAGCAAAAGAGGATTAAACCACTCTTTAATCAATAGCTCAATTGAATCTGGTATGACCATCCTGTGTCAAACAAGTGCAGCATCCAGGACCAAATAGTTTAAGAACAGATGTTATACAAATTCTGCATCTGCTATGCACATAGTGCATCTGTTTGGATTTGTAGTCCTCTATGCATAAGATGGCCTACTGTTAAAAACCTTATCTAGAGTGACCAGCCAGCCAAAGCCTGAGTTTTTGATGGTGCCAGAATCCCCCAAACCATGCTACATACTGCACTGCATTTCTTAGAAGCAAAACATACTGCACTGCATTTCCTAGAAGCAAAACATATTGCACTGCATTTCCTAGAAGCAACCAGGCGAGAACTGTTGTAAAACGATTTGACCAAGAAATCACTTCTGCTATCTGGTCACTGTAGCATTTTATCTTCTTTCCTTGGCATAAACAAGAAGTCCTATAACATTCTGAGACTGATGAGCTCTTCACTTCTTCATCTAGGGGTCTTCTAAACTATTGCATCTTGATTGCAGCTAATGGTGAAAAGCCCTGGATATCAGGCTTTGAGTGCTGTTTGTTTGATCCAGAAATCCCTCTAAAATATCATCATCGCACGAAACCGAACTTGCATTCGCATTCTTGATTTTGTGATAAATATCACCCTAAGCAAATTTACTCCTCTCCAAATCCCATATACTTGTGCACCCCTTCTCAAGGGCTTCACCAAGCAACCTAGACTTTTCCTCAGCTCAAATAGAAAAAAAAAAACGAAAATACTTCTCTATTCCAGTTTTTGTTCACTCTTGACGTCCCTTTTGTGTGTGTGGGGAATGATCGGCAAGAGGTTCCTTCTCTGTTTAGTGGGAGTTCCCACTTTTAATACTCGAGCTACCTTGCCCCATACAACAGAGTGGGTTTTCCACTTTTCCTTTTCCCTTCATCAAGACAGGCTGAAATTCCAGGAATACAATTGGGAAATCAGAACTTATCCTTTCTAGCTTGAATTCCTAAATCCTTTCCTCAGCTTCTTTAGCTTGTTTGGAGGCTAGTATTTGAGAGGGCTAAATTCTTATGAGCAGAGTAGAGAGTATGAGCAGTTTCTTGTGTTTGCTTTTATTGTTCCCTTAACAAATGTGCAAAAAATTACAGCAAAATAAAATGAATTACAATGGAGGAATGAATGCTTTAGTGCATTGTGAAATCATGTCATGTATTAGCTTTCTTATTTTTCTTTCCAATTTTCTGTTTAGATCACTATTGAAATCCTAGTTGCATGGTGACTGGGCATGCAGAGGTGCTTCTTTCTTCCCTTTTTTTTCCACTACGTAATCAGTTGGGTAGCCCACAAGATTATCAAAATTGAGAAGCCATCAAATACAATCTACATTTCCTGGAATTTGAAATTTGGTTATGAAGATCCAGGTTTCATGAACCTATTGATGGCTTATCACAGCTATAATTGCTTCTTTCGGTTTGAAGTTTCCTTTTTTTCACTTCTTTTTGTGGTTTGATTTATTTTTGCTAAGGGGTATGTGAATGGCTGCTGGTTTATTAGTTCATTGCTTTTCAAATCTGTGGTTGGTATTGTATGGTTGGCTCTAAAGAGGAGGTTAGTTTTAACTTTTAAGCAGATCGTTAATATCTCAATTTCTAGTACAATAAATTGTTGATGCACACTCACACAGTACAGTAATCAAACAACAGACATAACAAGCTTCAATAAAAGATACAAGAACTACCCAATCATGCTTCTGACTGGGAGGAATTAAAATCAATCTACAAAGACAGCAATATTGTACCTTTTGATCTAACTACAGAGGACATCTTCTGGCTTTAAACGAGGAAAATATAAACACTTGCGTGTGTGTCTTGTAAGGAAATCAAATTCATGCACGAAGTGAGACCAGCTTGAGATGGTAATGAATTGTTCTCAACGATCTTGGAAATGAATCTACCCAAAAAAAACAATCTTCGAAAATAATCAAACTCAACCTTATGTCACCATTGAGAATTTCCAAAGCAACACAAGTATGGCATTATAGTTAACGCCACATTTATTACCATTGTCCCAAAGGTGAGAGATGTGGAGTTCAGATTTTTAAATGAATAGTCCAGTTGTGAAATATATAACATCAACAATTTAGTGACCTAGAGACAGAGAATATCATCTTCTTAAAACTAACCTCCTCCACAGAACTAAGCCCAAAAAACCAATCACAGATCCATTGAAAAGCAACGAGCTAACAAACCATCAGAGGTTCAGAAAGCCTTTAGCAAAATAAATGGAACCAGAAAATGAAATGAGAAAAAAAAATCGCATGGAAAGAAGCAATAATATCCGTGATATGCCATCAAAATATTCATGAAAATGAAACCAGGGTCTTCATAACCTATGTCAAAATTCTTGATTATTTCCCCTTTTACCATTTAGAAGAACCTCTAGAGTTGTAAGACTTACAGGGTATAAGTTTCAAACAGAGGCACCTGACCCAACTCCCATGAGGCACAGACGAGGAACTTTAGGCTGCCTGTCCATGATTAGACATAGACACACTGACACACACATAGAAAGTGGAGCGAGATTTCTAATGTTTTCAACTATGCATTTCGTGGTACGGAAAATAGGTATCCCAGTTATGAGTTAACAAAATATTCTAATAAACTTTATGAAAAGGGATTTTGTGGTATAAACACTTTAAATCTCCACATAATGAAAGGCTTAGAAGCTCCAAAGCCATATAGTGGAAAGAAAAAACAGAAGAAATCAAGAAAAAATGAAGAGTGATTTTCTTTTTGAAGAACAAGAAAACAGAATAATGATGATAAACTGAAATTATTTTACCATAAATTAATAAAACAACATATTTTCCAAAAATAAAAATGCTATGAATGGCTCCACTTCCAAATTCTTGTCTCCTCTGTCAGTAATGAGCCTATAATCTACCAAAACCAGTAAAAGAAATAAATAAAATGTTTAGTAAATTATAAACATTAAAACCAAAAGATTTTTTTTTTTTAGAGGGAAGGTTAACTACCAAAAGATTAATCTTTGATTGGGAAAAACAGGCAATAAGAGCATCCAAAAATTATTTACCCACCATAGCCAAGAATTGGACAAACATGTTTTGGCACAACAAAATCATCTCATGCTAAAAGAACTGCCACAGTCAGAATACATGTTCGAGAGAGTAAGAAATTCAAGCAAGCATCATTGTTCCCTAGAGAACTAGTAAGAAAATTCCAAAGAAATATCCATAAATAGGTTAATAACTATAATCTAACACAAACAAGCATATCAGATCATTCTAGAGAGGAGATTACAGGTAGATGATAAAGGCAAAGAATATGATCTATCTAGGCATATGCTTAAGTGTCTCCTCAACTACAGTATAAAATTTGCAACAAGAAGTAAAGGCTAATGTTATTTGAGCTGGTTCATTGCTCAGCTCACAAAATCAAAAATCAAATACATGCTTGAATCATGGGAAAATAAAAAATAGAATGCATGCATGAACCATGGGAAATATTTTTGGTGCGGTTCTTTAAATGAATATTTAATGTATACCTATGTTGATGATGAAAATATTTGCAGCTATCGCCGGAGCATACTGTCCGTTTGCTTCCTCAGGTGAAACTCATGCTTAAAATCTTCCTTGGATAATAAATTTTAGGGATATAACATCTAGACCGTACATACCGACCTCGCATAAAAAAAAATTCATTCCCATTCTCTGTGCATTAGAAAAAGTGATGTATGAGACTGTACAAGAATCGGCCAATTTTTGGAGGGCAAAATCCAGTAATTCAAGAACTCAAAGACTTTTTGGATGAAAAGAAATTCAAGTAGCTCGTTTGCTTGAAAGAGTTGTTGTACATTATGCTCCCATGGGAGAATGCCAGACGTGCTCCTTGATAATTATTTCAATGTGTTTGAGAGTCTTTTGATATCATTATCTTTGAGATAAAAGCTTTTCGTTCAAAAGGTAAAGTTTTTTATTCTACTTTTTTTATATATTTGTAAGAAAATTAATGCTCAAAATTAATTAAAATTTTATAAAAAGAAGTGCTGAGTTCTTAATTTATCAAAGAAATATAGCTTTTTTAAATACAGGGCAATCGTAAACTAAAAGAAAAGCAACTATTTTTCATTATATTATCATTTGTTTTATTTATCAAGGAGATTGTTGGAGAAGAACGCCAGAACAAGAAACTTTACAACGTATAAAAATACAACTTTAAAAGAATGGGGTCCAGTAGTCGTCACTATAATGTGACATCTTAAATTTCATTCTTACTACGAGTAGGGAACACTTTTCCTGTTGAACTACCTAAAAAAATATTTATTTAATTTTAGAGGTTACAAGTTGTGGGGTAACTTGGTAAATTTAAAGGGCGAGTATGTATCAAGAGCAATGGTTTAAAAACCGGATCGGTGACTCGGATCGGGCTTTTCAAAAATCGATCCGGATCGGCGAATCGGCGATCCGGATCGGCG